TCTGACTTTATAATATCTCATAATTCTGACTTTATATCTCACAACTCTGACTTTATAATATCTCATAATTCTGACTTTATATCTCACAACTCTGACTTTATAATATCTCATAATTCTGACTTTATATCTCACAACTCTGACTTTATAATATCTCATAATTCTTACTTTATATCTTGCAATTCTGACTATATCTCACAATTCTGACTTTATATATAACAATTCTTTATAATATCTCATAATTCTGACTTTATATTTCCATTCTGACTTTAACTCTGACTTTATATCTCAGTTCTATCTTTGTATCTCTCAATTCTGACGTCATATCTTGCAATTCTGAAATGTTATATGCTTAATTCTGAATTGTCAAAATTGTGAGACATAGACTCACTTTTTTCTTAATTCCATGGCAGAAATCAATATTCCATAGCTCAGAGACTTTTGCATGAAGATTATACAGTAAACTCATTCAGCCTTTTAAAACTAAATGTGAGCTCTCCGAGTGCTTGTGTGAGAAACAAGAAAATGTGTCTCTTTTACTTTCATGATTGACTTCAAGATATTAATTTTATCTTTGTTTATCCGTCTGTTCCCTGGGAATCGGAGCAATGGTTTTGCTGTAGACCTTTGGCTCATAGTTTATCTAATTGCTACCATGCTATGTCAAGATTACAGGGTTTGCATCAAATGTCTTCTATGAAGACTTAAGACTATAAGAAACACCATTTCACTACTCCAACACAAATATACAATGAACCTCTGTTGTTTCCGTAGAAAAACACCAACAAATACCCGGTCAGAACGTCCAGAGCACCATTGTGACGTCTTCAGTTTGCGTGTTTTTCATCATTGTGATCGCAAGTGCTGCTGTATACGTGGGAATCACTTGCAGGAATAGACATCAGATGAGAAGTAAGTCCATTTTGTGTTCATTGCAATTAAAAGAAATGGCAGCTTACAGTAAGAAGAGTATGTAAACTCTTCTTGCACTTTGATGTCGGTTTAAAAGCTCTGTGACGGTCGCATTAAGATGAAATCTGAGCTTATAATCAGCATTGTACATGTGATTTATGGTGTTTTTCTTCCTTTGCAGGAACATTTATTGCAACATCAAGGAGGAGCATTTAACAGCTGTCAATTCAGAGCAAGATCTAGATCTATAGATACTTTTGAATGGCAAATGCAACAAACAAAACAACAAAAAGCACAAGCTCGCACACGTCGTGCAGTTCTTATGCGGGTGACCCATTTCACTTGTTAACCCACCACAAACATTTTCTGCCACTTCTCCATCTATTAAAGGAGTAAATCACCGCTGACAAGATGGGCTTTTAATAAAAGCGGGCTGTCTATGCAATAAAAAAACGGTAAAAAAAAAAAAAAAAACGGTGCTACATAACTAGAGAATACAAAAATGCGCAAGTATAATCTGTATTTTTCAGACTTTTTTTGACAAATAAATGGGGATTTCTTGTATAGGTCACACTGATAAAGATACACATTGTGCATTTACTTATACTACTGATATTGTAACAACACAAAGTTGGTTGAAAATCTGCAAACTTACCCTTTAAAGGTAAAATAGTCCGTAACAATAATGCAACTGTGAATGCCAACCACTGGCTAATAATGTCACTTATGCTTTAACATGGTTATTATTGCTTTTTGCTGTTTGAGTGAACCTCAGAGAAAAGATTAAATACAACTAATAATGTATATGTTTCCTTTAACAGATGCTTTCTGTCCAAATACTTTACACTTTACATCCTTATGTTCGACTTTTTACATGCTGTAAAAAAACCTTATACAGTATGAATATATAGAGTACATAACCAAAGCAAAGATGTACATTAAGCATATTTACTCAGTGGATTTATAAAGTCCTGTCAGTTCGAAAAAAACATTCTTAAAGTAATGTTTAAAGAATGCTCTAATAACTTTATTAATATTTGATATATGTTTTTCATAACGCTGTGCAAATCATTCTTGGAACGTCCTTATGATGTTATTTGCACATGATGAATGTTCTAAGAAACATTTTTGTTACATTTAAATAACGTTCAAATCACGACAAGAAAACTAGACAGTTTAAGGTTTATAGAATATTAAAAACCATTTGAATAGTGTTATTTTCGGGTGAAAATAGAGTTAGTGGAACATTGTAAGAAACCTTTTTGTAACCTTTAAATAGCATTCTATTCACAACAAGAAAACTGGAAAAATTTTTAACAATGTTCCCACAATGCTTCTATAACCTAAATTTGTTACCTAGGTAGCTTTAAAGAACATTCAAAATAACGTTCCCATAATGTTTGCAAAATGATAGAATTAAATGTTTCCTTCATGAACGTTCAGATAACCACGAAAACAGATTTTAAACCTTTAAACAAATAACATTTTCATAACTTAACAGGAACATTATCAGAATGTTCTTAAAACATATTTACGTTAACTAGGATTGTGCTCTGAACCTCAAAATAACACTTTTATCTTTGCTGTTATTTTACACTCGGTCACTTCATGCATGTAGATCGGCATGATTGTTTTTCAACATTTCACTGATACTGACCACAATATCTCTGCAAAACATATGTTGATATTCGCTTATTTGCTTTCTGATATTCACTTTCATTCTGACCAGGAGTTGTGTGTGTGAGTGAGAGTGTGTGTGTGAGTGTGTGAGTGTGAGTGTGAGTGTGAGTGTGTGTGTGTGTGTGTGTGTCTGTGAGAGTGTGTGTGTGTGAGTGAGAGTGTGTGTGTGAGTGTGTGAGTGTGAGTGTGAGTGTGAGTGTGTGTGTGTGTGTGTGTGTCTGTGAGAGTGTGTCTGTGAGAGTGTGTGTGTGTGTGTGAGTGTGAGTGTGAGTGTGTGTGTGTGTTTTGACAGAGCATTAGTCAGGAATGCCTGACCCAGATTTCTGTGTGTGTTTGTGTAAGCCGTTTCGCAGTCCTGCATTTATTGTTTTTTAAAAGCAGTTTTGTACAGTGACGTTGATGTTTTAGATCCATCTGCTTACTTACTGGAATCAACACTGTTCTTGGCAACATAAACGTGCATGTGTTTTACAACAACTTATCAAAGAGCAAGTTTGTATATTCTGTTCTTTTATATGTTTTTTGAAGCCAGATTAGTCTGAGGTTATATATTAATACTGAAACTGTTTGAGTTAATATATTTTGCCGTGTATAAAGTATCCCAGCTAACAAGGAACATTCCCAGAACTTTGCTTAACATTTTTCCAGAAAGGTTCATATAAAGTTCATTCAAAGTTTTCTGGTATTTAATAATGTTCTCCAAATGTTAGCACAAAAACATCATTCATACATCTGTCGTGGAATGATTTTTATTTCCGAAACATTTTAGTCGGACGTTCATCCAACATTTTTTGAATGTTACTTGTTTCGGAACGTTCAGAGAACATTCAAAACTAACGTTCCCATAATGTTTGCAAATGATACAATGGAATGTTTGCATAACCAAGAAAAAGCGTTTTTAAAACATTTAAAAACATTCGGAAATGTTAGATAATGCCTCCACGCCACATAATTAAGATTCAGATCCAGTCAGAATATATCTGTTTTGTCTGGTAACAGAACAACTATTCAGCAAAATTGCCTAGTACCCAAAATCTGTTAACAGCAAGTCTTGTCTTGTATCCAAAATACCCAAACCTGTATTAACAGGAGACGAAGTGATGATGATAAAAAAAGAGCTTATTGAAAAATCTTAGTTGCGTATATTTCAATGCTCAGACTTCGTCTAAACAAGACAAATTCAACAAGTACTGTTATACCAAACAACATCCCATAAACCTTGAGTTTCCATAAACATTCCCTCGTATCTCTTTTTCATGAAGACAAACAGCCCTTTAAACCTACAGTCATACGACTAAACAACAATGGAAAAATAACATAAAAAACAATAATATAATAGATGCTAAAATGATTATATACTGAAATGTAAAAATAAAACGATTAAATTATTATAAATGGATGAACAAATGAATATGAAAGAAAGAAAGTAAAACACAACACAGACGTATGGTTGCTCTCTTGAAGCAAAACACACGCAGCTTGCGTTTGAGGATCCTCGGATTCTTCAGATAGCGTTTTCATAACAACGTCAGGAATGTTAGCAAAACGTTCTCAAAACGTATCTTTGTGAGCTGGGATGTTACCAATAACATGTCTGAAACCCATATACTGAGAAATGACTCTGAAATGTGAAAATAAAAACTTTATATCAAACTGAAAAGTGTGTGTGTTTATGAATGTTCACTAAACTTTAAAGAATAAGTTCACTTCCAGAATACAAATGTCCTGATAATTTACTCACCCCCATGTCATGTTCATGGCTTTCTTTCTTCAGTCAAGAAAAGGTTTTAGGAAAACATTCCAGGATTTTTTCTCCCATATTTCTTTTTTTTTTTCCTTTCTTTCATTATCTAGCCAAACGACTGGTCATTTTCTAAAAGAATACAAATATGTGACCCTGGAGCACAAAAGCAGTCTTAAGTGTCAATTTTTCAAAATTGATCTGAATAAATAATCTTTCCATTGATGTATGGTTTGTTAGGATCGGACAATATTTGAAAATCTGGAATCTGAGGGTGCAAAAAAATCAAAATATTGAGAAAATCATCTTTAAAGTTGTCCAAATGAAGTTCTTAGCAATGCATATTACTAATCAAAAATTAAGTTTTGATATATTTACGGTAGAAAATTTACTAAATATCTTCATGGAACATGATCTTTACTTAATATCCTAATGATTTTTGGCATAAAAGAAAAATAAATCATTTTGACCCATACAATGTATTTTTGGCTATTGCTACAAATATACCCCAGCGACTAGGGATGTAACGATTAACCGCGAGCCGGTTGGAAATCGATTCAAATATGTGACGATTCAAATCGGTTGAGA